AGAAACCAAATAACAGTTAAGGAAACCAAATAACTATTAACCAAATAATCATCTCAAATACTCTGGGACTAACAGAAGCAGGGAAGATTCTGTCATAATTCTGTGTACCTTAGGTTTGTGGAAATTTAATTTTAAGCGCTAAGATTCCAGCCAGTCTTATAAATATACATGAAAAAAGCCTCTCCAAGGAACCACAATAGCTCTTTCAACATAAAAAATAATTCCCTGAAGAGAACCACAACCTTTTACTTCATCCAGAATTCTGAATCATTGCTGATAATTGGCAAAAAAAGAGCACCCCAAACTATTGAGTCATACAAAAAATAATAATTTCCCATATTAGTGGGATGGCAACATTCTCCTGTTATTATATTGCGTTGAAAGCATGGGAGGGAGTAGGCATATGCACTCAGATGACTCTAGTCTTAATATGTACCTTAAAAATATCTCATTGATTTTCTTTCAGGTATCTGGATTAATATTACAGATTCTCAGCAATGTTTGTATCCAGGTTCCAAATATTTTCTGGAATATTCAGGAATATACAGGTCTGGCATTTTTAGAATGCCAAACCTGTTTTTTCCCCTCGTTAAAAGGTTTCCTGGGCAATGGGAGGGGGGGGAATGAAGGCTTCTCTCCTAGGCAAATGAGATTGCATGATGGGGGGAGCTCTAACTATCTGGCCAGTCATGACAATTTTCTCTCAGCCCATAGCTTTCTGACCATGGACAAAGAGGATAAAAAGCAGGCCTGGCTGCAAATTGACTCCATTTCGGCATGAGAGGATGGTTTGTTTGTTTTTTGGAGAGCTGCCGGCGTCTGCACTGGTCTGTCTGAGCCTTGGATTAAGCCTTGGATTAATTCTGCTGCATGCCGGGGAAGACCTTCTTATTTTGTGCCAGGACTGATTTGCACTTTGTTTAAAAATATTATTTAAATTATTATTTCAAGTTTTTCTGTGTTTTTAGTTTTGCCTGGTGGGTTGTAATGAGAGGTGGGGAGCCTTTCTTTTCTTAAAGGTCTTTTTTTAAAGTTTCCTTTGGATTTGTTTTAGGGTTTAAAAGGCCTGTTCTGTTTTTTATGGGTATCTTGGGTTGTTTTAGAATTGTTAATTTTAACTGCTTTGCTCTTTGCTCTTGTGCTGGGAGAGGATTCCAGGTTGTTGCTGTTTTAAAAAGTTTATTTTGGCATTGTTCTGGTTTTACAGTTGTTCTATAGTTGGTCTAAAGATCTTTCTGTGTTGTGTGTTTTGGGGAAATGGTTTAGTGGTGATTTGGGGTGTCTCTGTTGGTTTTTAGAACATTTAATTATGAAGGAAATTTCTAGTTTTTACAACAGCTGATGCCCAGGTCAGAATTCAGGTATTTTATAAAACAAAAAGAAAATTTAATCTTAGGGAATTCAGTGTTCTCCAAACAGTATAATTAGGCTTTTGCTAGGGTTTTTTTGCTAGGTGGCTCAAGTGGTTAAGACGCTGAACTGCAGGCTGTGGAAGGTCAGTAGTTCAGCAGTGCGAGACCCGGGTGCCGCAAGACAGAGTGAGCTCTTGTCTCTAGTTCCAGCTCCTACTAACCTAGCAGTTCGAAAGCAAGAAATTGCAAGTAGATAAATAGGTACCACTTCGGTGGGAAGGTAACAGCGTTCCGTGCGCCTTGGTGTTTAGTCATGCCGGCCACATGACCACGGAAACATCTTCGGACAGCGCTGGCTCTTCGGCTTTGAAACGGAGATGAGCACCGCAACCCTAGAGTCGGATTCGACTGGCTTTCAAGCAAGGGAGCCTTTACCTTTACCTTTACTTAGGTTTCCAAAATAATAAGGAACCAGGTGGTTTTTGAAAATATAATGGGAGCATAGATTTACTTTTATTAAAAGTATTGGGCTGATCTGGGCTTCAAAACAATTGAAGCCAGATGGTTTAAAGAAGAAAAAAAGGGTTAAGGCTCCTTTTTTTTAGTCTTCAAAAAAATGAAATCAAGTTTTCAGAAAGATTGTGGAGGAAGACAGTAGCAAACTACTTCTTTTTGGACTGCCTCGGGTTATTAATCTCCAGGTGTGGCCTGTAGATCTTCCAAAATTACAACTGATCTCCAGATATTAGTTCCACTGGAGGAAATGGCTGCTTTGGAGGATGGAGTCTATTGCATTATGCCTCACTGAAGTCCCTCCCCTCCCAGACCTAGGGTTACCAGCTCTGAGTTGAGAAATACCTGGAGATTTTGGGGATGGAGCCTGGGGAGGTGAGGGACCTCAGCAAGATATAATGCTATAGAGACCACTCTCCAAAGCTGCCATTTTCTACAGCAGAAATTATCTTGATCATCTGGAGATCAATTGTAATTTAGGAATGGGCATGATCAGTTCAGTTTGTGGCCGTACCCCAAGCCAAACCATGAACTGATATGATCCAGGAGGTTGGTTCATGAACCAAACAGGTTTGTATCAGTTTGTGACCCCTGCTTTCTGCTCCCTGCCACTTTTCATGGGGAGCAGAAGACACGGGTTTCCCCATGAAAGTGGTGGGGAGCAGAAAGCAGAGCTCCGAGCCATTTAAACCCCTGCTTTCTGCTCTTCATGAACCACCACAAACTGCCTTAAAATTCATAGAAGTTTGTGCCGACTCTTCAGTTCATGAACATCACTTCGCAAACCACAAACTGCCCAAAATTTGTCATCAACTTTTGTTCATGAGCTGGTTCATGCACATCCTTAATTATAATAACAGGAAGTTGGCAACCTTACTATACAGTACTTACACACATTCGTGTATCTGGACATGGGTAGAAAGAAGTGATTTTCAGGAAGCTGTAAGTTAAGAATCTTCCATTTTAGTAATTAAGGCACTAATTAATTGCTATCTCCCACCCACCCTATCCAGCTTCCCCCAAACAGTTTTGAATCCTACCCCATAGTTTTATGCTCTGTAACATCGGTTGAATGTAGAATGTAAGGATGCTAATTAAATCAACAAAGGATTTATGGTATGATCATAAGTAAATCACCTTTTCTTGGATAGCTAATGATGTGCATATTGCAAATATATAGCCGCTTCTTTATACCTTCACAATGGCTCATCAGAGAAGGGAACTGTAAGTATCTGGGTGCAACCAAAAGCAAAGGATACATTTTTATTAGCGATGATGTGTTGTTTAATAGTGTGTAATATCTGACAATGATGATTTCACTCTCCATTTCCATTCCTCCCCCCACTAGCCTATTGAGTGGCAGCAGGAGAACAGAACTATTTCACTGCCCAAGTGGCCATTTGAGATACCAGATCATCACATAGTGTCACATGGGAGAAGTCAATAGGGGGTCTCCTGCTAATCTAGGAGACCTGGCAGCCCTAGTAATAGAAGTCATGATCACCTGAATTAAATATATCAATTGTAAACACCGGAGTTCAATACAATCTTTTGTCACCACCAGGCTTCTACAACTGATTTATGTTAGCAGAACTAGATTTCTTGCCTTCTGGATTTTTTTTCATTACTGTCACCAATTTAGCATTCAAACTATATCACAACAAACCTCTGCTTGTTTTGACAGGCACAAACCTGGCTTATTTGCTGTGCTCACTCTCTCCTACTTTCCTCCTCTCACGTGCTCAGTACAATTCAAAGATTTCTGATTTAGAAGCCTTGAATCAAACTCTGATTTGCATTGATGTCTGAATGAAGGCAGCTAGGCATGTTTTATTATTATTTAGATTTATAATCTGCCTTCCCCACTGAGACTCAAGTCAGAATATGGAGTAAAGAAAGTGAAAAAATGTAATTATGCAGTATACAGTATCACATGAAAAATGCAACAGGCCTTGGAGTACAAAACTGAATGACAATGTGAGCAACAATGTAGACATAGGGCATAAGATATTCAGTGAACAATGCAATAGAACTAGGAATACAAAACTGAATGCCAATACCAGTGCAATAGGACTAGGAATATAAAACTATATTACAACCTGAACAGCAATAGTCCAGAACTAGCTCAAGCAATGCATGTTGGATTACAAAGGTACAAGACAATGCAGGTTCCATTCCTCATTCCCACATGAAGGTGCTCTCCTTTCTGGACCATTCTGTCCCACTACAAAAAAATTCAATTACAAGAACACCATTCTGAACATTTCTGTTCTGCACATTTTGTGGAATGTAGTTTGTTTCCCTGTTACAGAACTATTTCACTGTCCAAGTGGCCTTTTGAGACACCAAATCATCAGAGAGTGTCACATGGGAGAAGTCAATAGGCATGGCATGCTCCAGTTACTGCCTCCTAGATCCAGGTTCAGGATGAACTGGAGAACACTTTCAGACTATAAAGAAACCATAGTTCTGTACTAAATGTTTTAGTGCTTAGGGTCTCAGCTTCTATCTGTGGGTGGGTATGTGTGTATGTAATAAAATATTAGTGAGTGGAGCCCATTTTAGATCTGACAGAGCAAGTATGCTCCCTCTCACACCCTTATCTCCCAAACCCAGGACAGCAGCAGAGCATCATTGCAGTCAATGGGGCTGGCACAGGAGGAGGTGCACCCCTTTCTTGGCCCTGTGCCACCTCCACCCTGATCTGGGATGGGTTGCAGTTTTTCTGGGATCTGACAGGAGGGGGCATAGGAAGAGGATGCTCGGAGTGGCAAAGTTTGATGTTCTGAAATTCAGTTTAATACCACTTTGTGGGTGGAAACAAACCCCAATGTGTCATTGCATCAATGACCATTATGTGAATACCTGACCACAGGATATCTGGATGCTGTTCTAAACTTCATCTGTGGATGTTGTTTGTAATCTCTCCTCTGTTCACTGTATCCATTCAATCCATTAATATTGTTTACAATTTGAAACTAATACATCTTCCTGAAGCTGAATGTAAAGTTGAAACATCTCTCTTTTCTCTTTCAGATGCAGTAAGAAAACTGGAAAGAAGCCCACCTAATCACTGAGTACACCAGCCTGAAATGATAGTACTTCATTATTTTTTCTTATACCTTTAGGCAAAAGATGTGTGTGATTAACAGAACAACAAACAAGAATTTAACAGAGGGTTATTCAATCCCTCTAGGAGTGGTCTTGGGAGGTATCTCATTAATCACAGTTGTCATGAATATTTTGGTCCTATATGCAGTGAAACTGGAGAAGAAACTTCACACCGTCGGCAATCTTTACATTGTCAGCCTGTCCTGTGCAGACCTCGTTGTTGGTGCAGCTGTCATGCCACTGAACGTTCTATATCTTTTGAAGAATAAGTGGCTGTTGGGTACACTAGCTTGCCGGTTTTGGCTATCAATTGATTATGTGGCCAGTACAGCCTCCATATTCAGCCTCTTCATACTCTGCATAGATCGTTACCGTTCTGTCCAGCAGCCACTAAAATATCTCAAGTACCGGACAAAAACTAGAGCTTCTATCATGATTTCTGGAGCTTGGCTGCTCTCTTTTATGTGGATAGTCCCAATTTTTGGTTGGCATAAGTTTTCCCCTAACAGCACAACTGAAGAGGATGGCATATGTGAAACAGATTTTTGCAAAGTCACCTGGTTTAAGGTCTTGACAGCTATAGCTAACTTCTACATCCCATCACTGATGATGCTGTTTTTCTATGCAAAAATATACACGGCTGTCCGGAGGCACTATCAGCACAGAGAGCTCATTAATGGATCATTTCGATCAGCATCAGAAAAAACAATCCTACACAATTGTAAGCAGCAAGAAATACCAGAGATGTATTCACAAAGTAAAAATATAGGATTTCACGGTCATGAACATGATGGTCACAATGACAGAATGGAAGTCCCACCTCCATCAGGCAGCTTTGGTGAAGTATCACAAATATTTCATAGAGGAAGTGCCCATGAAATTGGGAAGCACAGCTGCTTTCCTCTGACTGTTGCACAGAATGACGTTGGGGTGGGCAATGTTGATAGAAAGTATGCCTGTGTCGATGAAAGCATTCAGAATATAGAGAAGCCTTGCCTCCAAGAATATGAGATAAGCAAATCATCATATGAGCATACCTTTGCAGAGAGACCTTCCTGTAGAAGAGATTCGGATGCCACTCTAGAGCAAAATTTTGGTATCAAGAGGCACTTCCCTCAGTTTAAAAACAGCAAGGATAGCACAAGTCTCCGTTCTTGGAAAAAGATGTGGGGGAGGCTGCGTACTCATTCTCTGAGCCATAACCAAGGGCTGCGCATCAACAGAGAAAGAAAGGCAGCTAAACAGCTAGGTTGTATAATGGCAGCCTTTATGCTATGCTGGATTCCATACTTCGTATTATTTATGGTCATGGCATATTGTGAATCATGTTACAATTATCACATTCATATGTTTACAATCTGGCTTGGCTATGTGAATTCTACATTAAATCCATTTATATACCCACTTTGTAATGAAAACTTCAAGAAAACTTTCAAAAAGATTTTTCATATTAAAAGCTAATATCTCTTGGTGATAGTTATATTCGGGGGGGGGGGGGCAGTGGCAAAGAGCCAGAAAGAAAAATAGACTTTTCAGTATTACAAGAAATCATTACAAATGAGGCAGAAGATTTTAAAAGATTATTGATGAACAAAGTAATAGATACAAAAGTGGACACATGTTGTTTGTCCTAGATAAAGGTAAACTGTGAATCATATTTAAAGAAGAATTGATGCTCACCGGAACTCTTAAAGACTAAGGTTTCAGCTTCGAGATTGTTACTCTTTTGTAAATATTTTACAGTGTTGAGTTTTTTAAAATTTCAAATTCCATTATTTGGAACAAAACTGGAGGGAGAGAATGAAATATGCTGGTACTTAATTTTGTTTTCAATGCTAAAATGGATGCTTCCACATCCAGTTCAATGCTTAGTTTGGCTACAGGCACTTGTCCAGTTTTTGTGTTGTGCTTGAATGAAGTCTACATTTAGATAATATGTCACAATCAGTTAGAGAGAGAGAGAGAGAGAGAGAGAGAGAGAGAGATGCTTTCTCATTAGGGTTGCTAGGTCCTATATGGCTGTTGGGTGTGTGTGTCCAAAGTCTGTCCTGGGATCTCCTGTTGTGTGTGCAAAGCACGTATGCTACAATTACATCATCCAGATGTGATTTCATCACGTCGTTGACGTTGGGGGGGTGACACTCTAGTTTTTTGGCAAAAATATGGTTTGAGCCCAAAAACTAGAGCGTTTTCCCCAACTTCAGTGATGTGGCCGGCAGCAGGAAGGGTCCTGCAAAAGTGGGGGAAGCCCTGCCTGGACCGAGGGCCTGGCAACCCTATTTCATATCCTTCAAAATGGCAGAATCCTCTCTTAAGTCCTAATAGTGGACAATCCAGGCTCTATTTCTGTGGCTTGTACCCTTCCTGGTTATGAAAAAACAGTGCATTGTAATCAGAAGAGAGCTGAACCATTCATCTCCTCATAATGTTCTGTTTAATGTAGCCAATGTATGATGCTAAAAAACTGGAAAATGTACTTGTTTATTATATTTCCATTGATATTTCTAGGGCCAGTGTGTATTGCTTGAAATTGCAACATTTGAAGCTGCTACACAGCTTGCTTCATGTTATATTACATTGAAATACTATATATATATGTATGTATTTGCAGACAATACAGGTTCAAAAAACAGAGAAAACTGTAATAATACATCTTGTTCCATGCATTCATTCAATACTGAACACATTCTATTTGGTATGAGAAAGAAATCAAGATTGCTTCAAAAAATTTACTATGTCATTTTATATTGTTTTCCATATTTTAAATGGTATTGCAGGAGCTTTCCATCTAGAAGCTATTTATATCCAGACTACAATTAATATATTTAATACTAATTGAATTATTATCTGCTTCATCTTGCCTTGCACACAACCTAGCAATTCTATCTTTGGGTTGAGTTCTATAATATATCCAGCAAATTCCTCTGGAATTTTCTAATTATTTGAAATGAACACCAACAGTGACTAATCTGTGTTTGTAACCCTCATTACCATAACTGGTAAACATGATTTATTTTACAAGGCATTAATACTATCTACATATCAATTTATAAAGCTTTTCTGTCATATTTAGCTCATCTTTTCCTGATATCCCAATTCCCTTCCAATTTTTCTGTGGCCAAGATGTCAAAGAACCTCATGAGCTAGTTCCATATACCTCCAGGTGATTTGGGTTTGTGGTTTGCAAACAGGAGCTCTCCATGCCACACAGTGAACTGCTTCTGAAACTGAGGTATTTTTGAAAAGCAATTTCTGATTTGTTGAAGTATGCTGTTACAGTCTGCTGTTGAAAGGAAAAAAATCTCCTTCCCAAAGCCACTGGGCACCTCTAAATTATTTTTTTGCATTACAACCTTTAACCATTTCCAGTCTTGAATTATTAAAATTTTCCAGTAAACTATTTTGCTATGCCATGCTAAGTAGACCTTTCTAAGTCTACCGAAGTCAATGGCTTAGAATAGTGTTACTCTGCTTAGGATGGCACTATAAGCCACTTTTAATATTTATTTAGATTATATACAAAATATTTGTTCATAGTTTTAAACAATTTTAGTAAGTTTTCTGTCATGTATTGTTCTTTATAAACTATTTCCAGATGTAAGAGGCCTCATGGTTATATGCTTACTTCGCCAATACTGGTAAAATGGCAGATTTTGCTCCACTTCTGTACATAAATTATGATAATATATGGCATTTTTTGAAGTCATACTCTGGAAAATCTATTACTAGTCCTTTGTGTGAAAATACCACTCTCATCACCATTAAAATTAAGATGAAATATTATTGGTATTCACAAACGTACCTTTCAGCTTACTACATTTCAGTGATTGTGCTATATCCTCCCAGATACTTCCAAAAGTGGCCTTCACCAGTTCCAAAACATGCCTTTGTAAATGATAATTTGTATTAAAGTATGAGTTATTCCTATTTATCTTTCTCCCTTTCGTGCTGTTCTCTGAAAAATGTTGTATGAAATTTTTGCTCTTATTCGGAGGAAAAATCTACAATTCCTTTTAACTGCCAGTATTGTACAGCACAAATGATAGAATCTGATAGGTACACAATAGGGTCTGATAATGTGTGCATCAATTTATAATGTAGCAAAATAGCTCAAAGATTTGCTGCTATGTATTTTCAGTCTTTGACACTGTGTTTGTTTGTCTTCAATGAAAAGAAACATATTGTACAGTGTTACTTTGCTCTTCATTTTGGTGCCACTCAAGTGAAGGGTAAGCAACAGACTGGGGGGAAACTGAAAGCAGGGGAGCAGATTAAAGTTGGTTGGGTGATGGGTGGGAAAGAGAGAAGGAAGCAAGAAAAGGGAAGAGGCTATGGAGGCTTTCAGAAAAAGGAAAGAGGAAATAATAGGGAGGTGGAAAATGCAAGTCCTTGTGGGTTGCCGTTTGTCTATATTTGTTGTTGTTGTTCAGTCGCACAGTCGAGTCCGACTCTTCGCGACCTCATGGACAAGATCTCGACATGGGTGACCCCAATCTCCTGAGGCCCCCCCCCCCCAGCCAGCTAACTTGATCTTTGAGGCTTTATATTTTATTCATAGATTATGGGAAAGACAGGGGTGTCAAAAATTGTAATTTAGCATTTGGCTCTCAAACGGTCATGGCGTTTTCCCCCTGTGAAGATCTGAGCGATGGAGGGCCTAGGAACCGGATGACAACTTCCTAAATGGCTGCTGCCGGAGCTACTTCCACTCAGGAAGATGATCCCATTACTAAAAAGGACTTGATTATCTCCCTTAAATAGCTGGAAATGACAATGTTTGACAAAATTTCCTCCCTTCTGAAACCCATTGCAGACCAACTGGATGACATAAAACTTTTACTGCAACAAGTAACCCAAACGTCAGACTCTGCAATTGAGTTGGGAATTACAGTGCAAGAAGTCTGGCACTTACAACAGCGTGAATCCTGTCTGGCTGACAAAGTGGTGATTTTGGAAAACAAATTAAAAGGTAAAAACTTGAAATTGTGGGGGATAGCTGAAAATGTGGAAGAGTCGACTGACCTCCCAATAGTTATGGTGTCCTGGCTCGCAACGATCTTAAAGCTAGAGGAAGAGCATCACACCTACCATTACCCAGGCATATAGAATTGGTCCTACAAAAAGCCCTCACTCTACTGGATCCAGAGATATAATAGTTGAGTTCTTAGATGTCCACTCCAGGCAGAAAGTTTTACAAATTACAAGGTCAAAGGGTGTTTTACCATATCATGGTAGTAAGGTGTGAGTCTTCCTGGATTTATCTTCAGAGACTTTAAGCAAACAGCGGGAACTAAAACCCATAACTAGCAAGCTCCTGGCCGCTAACATCCAATACACACTCAATGCCTCTAGTAACGTTCTAGTACGATATCAAGGCAAGTCTTATTTTGCCTGAGGTATGGATTCCGGCTGCGCCTTACTCCAAGCCTTAAATTTGGATATACCATCTGATTTCTATAAGAAATGTCATAAACACAAGCTAGATTTAACTATGACACACACACCCAATGGAGCAAGATTCTGGTGCATAAGTCTTCTTGATGATCTTCTACTTGCTGTATGAGTATTACTTACTCTCATGGATCCTTTTCCTTATTTTTGTATCATTTTCAATATTTTCAACCCCATCTACTATTGCATTAGCCAATATCATATGAGCCTCTTCATATAATTATATAACTATTCACCTATATCTTTCTGGTTGGGGGGGCTTAGGGCCAAGATGGTTTAAGCTTTTTGTTTCCATGTCAAGTCCCAGACACTAGGCAGGGACCCCCACTTTCCTGGTTGATGTCTGGGCATCTGGTGACTTGATCCCAAAAGGGATTTTCTTTTGCTGTGCTTTTTTTTGCATTTTGCTCAGTGTTTGTTTTCCCATTGCTAATTTTGAGTGATGGGTGGAGAGGTGGGAGAGACTTTATTGGGAGAGATATGCAGGTAATAAACACTCCCTGGGTTTTTTGTTTGTTTGTTTGTAAGGCTGAAAGAGAGGTGAGGAGAGAAACTTGTTTCTAACTACCACTCCAATGTTGAGCGCATTTTTTTCAAATTATCAGACTCTTGTTGACTATCATAGCCTTGTTCACTTTGTTATATTTCATAGTTGTATTGTACACTGTTGTATCATTTGATCACTTCCCCTTATCCAATATTTTTGATTTATTAATTGAATGGTTGAACATACCAGGCAAAAAGGCTATATACCTTACTGTCACGTGGTCAGAATGCACTCTGCATACAAGGAGAGGGAGACAATGCATATCATTGAGGGTTATGAAGAAAGTGAGATTTAATTTAATGTTGTTAATTTATTTACATACATATATGTAACTGTGGAAAATTCCCATACCCTGCTATACTACACACATGTTCTTGGGAAATTTAAGGAAGTAAAATATGGAATTTATAATTATAAGGAGTTAATAATAAGAGCTTACAAATCTATGTCCTTGAATTCATTA